GGGGGGGGGGGGAGGAAAAAATAGGAGGAGGATAATGGAGTCTTACTTTACTGGGAAGTATTCTCCTGAGCGGTATTCCATAACCTCCAGACCCACCGGTGCTGCTCCAACTCCAAAAAACGTTTGGCATTAACATTTGCACGATAATTTTCGAGAAGACGCCATATCGCCCCCAAAGGTAGAACGATTCTGTAGGAAAGGAGGTCTGGGGAATATGGAATACCTCCTAGGAACAAATTAGGGGGAGCATGATCGAGTCTTACTTTACTTGGAAATGGTCTCCTGGGGGAGACGCCTCTAGTTCCCAAACAAAGGCATGGAAGCGAACTCATATACCTACGTAAAGGTTTCAAAACAAAGTAGGAGGGGGACTATAGTTTCACTAGGTCATAGAAGTTAGGCTAACGCCAACATTAACCTCGTATACCTTCCCGTGGTAGGTATAGCAATGTTTGCACTGATGAAGATGACGATCGAGGGATTTCGGAGATAAGAAGTTAAGCCTGTACCAAGTGAGCGGGTTCGTCGCCCCCTGTTATCCAAGAAGTGAAAAATTTCTCCAAAGGCGGGTCCGCTCTTCGGGATCAACAGCGTCAGGATGGAGAAGGCCAGTGGGAACCACCCTATTAAAGACCTCACGCGGTATCTCTTAAGAAGTGCCAGGGAAAGATAAAAAGAAATATGAATTTTTTTAATATTAAATTTTCGGGAGTTAAAACTAGTCCCAAACTCAAATCTCCGGAGTGGACAGTTACGAAATTCAAGAAAAACAATTGAGGAGAAGGAAAAGGGTAAATTGAGGATGGGGACTTGGAACGCTAGCAGTCTACTAAAGGAGGAAAAGCTTGAAAATCTTCGGCGAGAAATAATTAAAAACAGACTGGATTTAATTGGAGTGAAGTGAAGGATAGGAACAGGAAAATTGTGATGATTTTACAGTGGAAAAACGAAGTAGGATTTAATGTCAGCAAGGAACTTTCCCGGTGTGTAACTAAAATAATTTATGGCTGTGATAGAGCGATGGCTCTAAAGCTTAACGCTGTGTCAAAGGAAATTTATTTATTGATTTATTTACTGGCCCTCTCTTGTTCTGGGCTTGTGTCCAATTACAGAGTGACCCGAGGTTCCCCTGTAGAAGGTGCGGAAATGTTAATGTACATGCCAAACACTGACCATAAGGATGAGGAACTAGAAGAAAATATGCAAGAATAGAAAGTATAATCGTAATGGGTGATTGAAGTGAGGCGTTGGGAAATGGAAGAGATGAAAATGTGGTTGGCATGTATGGCCTTGGAAAAAGAAGTGAGAAAGGTAGATTTCCGCAAAAAAACCAAAATAGTAGTAGTTATTCAACTTAGACAAATTAAAGTTTATGGACAAGGATGAAGTGTAGAAATGGATGGATGAAGAAATAATGAATCATGTCGAGGAGGATGTGGAGTGTAAGTGGAACAGGATCAAGAGCCGAGTGGTCCGAAGGCAGAGCACAAATCTGACTACATCATCAGACCTTCACTCTTTCAACACTATCACTATTGCATACCTCATTCGGAATTAAAAGTGAAGTTTTAAAACCATGCAGTCAGATTTCTACTCTGCCTAGGATTATGGGTTTCAAAACGATCACTACTGTATACCTTTGGCTCGTTTGGCATTAAAGTAGGTGAATAGGAAAGTTATAGTTTGTACAAATCAATTCATTTGGAGCAGACTTTTCATTAGAATTATTTAAGGTTTCTTTAATTAATTGTTCTATCGACCGCTTGTTGGGTGGCCTGTGTTATTTTGGCCCTGAGTGCATGTTTTTCTTTATTTGATCGTTTTATGTTTTGAATAAATTTGTTCATCTGGAAATGGTTGATTTTGTGATTAATCCGAGTCCAAATTACAACCCAGATAAGAGTTCGCAAGTTAAAATGTTCTTTTTCGCACCCAGAATTACACTAGGCGTTCCTTGAAAATTGTTTAATTAATTCTTTGGAATTTTAGAGGTGGCTATGGCTGCTGAATTTCTCAAATTAATAAAATTTACGTCAATATCGAGGCTGAGTGGACATGCCTTAGAAAAATTATAATTATTTCTCTTAAATCTTTTGTTAGTACCTGTACTAAATTGAGCTATCTGGACAGGTGCTTGTGGGTGGTTTAGTGACCGTTTGCCGCTTAGCAATATTCACGTATGTGTTTGATCCTTAATCTAAACATATCAACCCCTAAACATAAATTACAATTTCCAATGGAATAATTTTTAGACGTAATCGGCGAGAATGCAAGACTAAAGGGGTAGTTATGTAGTAAATATGTGCTTATTTGTTTGATTTTATGAAGGCATAGGTATATCAACTCTTGAACATCGCCAAAAGAGCTCCGAATTTCATTATCCTTCGACAAAAGCCATAATGGCACATAAATCTAATTTAGGGGTAGTAATCTTTGAGAATTCGATTGATTCTTAATCTACATACAACATCTCTCAAACATCAGAGCCACCGCCGGTATACCTCGGAACATGGGACCACACCCAGAGCTCTCACGCGGTGAATGGATAGTTTACTTCACTTGCATATTTAGACTATGATGGGTAGTTTTTCTTCAGATTTCAATAAATTTATTACATTTTTCGAGTAACATGATCACCTTTGATGTGTCACTATAATCTAAATAACAAAGATTTCTCTATTTCGGTATTACAATAGGAATTTTGTACAACTGTTTTGATCAAAAACAGTATTACAATGAAAGTCATTATAGCATTGTTTTTAGTAACTTTTAGTATCTTTCACGTTAAATTATACTTACTCTTTTTAAGTTGTTTTTCAAAAATCCAAGATATTTCTAATTTCCTTGGCGCTTGAATTTTCGGCGGAGTGAGCGAGAGGGGAAAGATTTTGAGGCATGGGGGACTTCACCTCGTCATCTTTTTGGGGAATATTGCAAAGACCATATTGGGGCAAATATTCTGAGGGCAAATGTTCCAGTAGTGGTAGTACCCTGGGTAGTACATCATGAGTACACATTTCGACCAATCCTCTATAGTGTTTTCCATAAATAAAGCAGCATTTGTGTCTCTGGGATACTCAAATTAAATTAACACAAAACCAATATGCACAATATCCAATTATTTCAAACTTCAAACGAACAGTAGGTGTAGATCCAAAGGCCACCTTTAATTGCAAATACACTTTATTGCAAAATGGGAATAATCAAAGCAGCTGAAGAAAAAGTTGGATGTAAGAAAGGAATTAGACCAAAGCGTTGGATAAATCAAGAAATGATAGCACATATGGAAAAGAGGAAGCTACAAAAACATCAATGCCGAAGGAGGAATAAGAAAATATCAGAGGCTAAATGCGGACTTGACAGAAAGAAACTGATGAAACTAGGAACAAGTTAAAAAGTAATCGTAAACGATTTACATAAAGCGCATTTCCACTTGCATTCATTTCCCATTTGTAAGATGCAACTTCTGTTAAAATCGTAAAAATCCGCCCACAAATATGAAAGATAGCGTTGCACATGGGCAATCCATTGTTGACGTGCTACTTCAATTTCAGTTTATGAGAAGAATTTCATTTCATGCTTTTCTAAATAAGAAAGTTGGAACTGCGCATGCGCAAACCTAAATTTTAAAACTAATGTTAGATTTTCCTTTGTTCCAAGCGCCTCAAGTATCAAATTTCACTTAAATAGTTCCATAGATAAAAAAGTTGGCACTGCGCATGCGCAAAATAAAAATTTGAAACTGGCGCTAGATTTTCCTTTATTCCAAGTGCCTATGTATCACATTTCATTTAAATTCTTCCATAAATAAAAAAGTTGGCACTGCGCATGCGCAAAACCAAATTTTGAAATTGGAGTTTGATTTTCCTTTATCCCAAGTGCCTATGTATCAAATTTCGTTTAAATTCTTCCATAAATAAAAAAGTTGGCATTGCGCATGCGCAAAACCAAATTTTGAAACTGGCGTTTGATTTTCCTTTATCCCAAGTGCCTATGTATCAAATTTCATTCAAATACTTTTATAAGTAAAAAAGTTTGCAAATTTCGCGGTTTTTACAAATGGTGAGATGGAAAAAGGCACTGTGAATTTTGAATCGATTCGATTCAACTTTTGGCATTGCGTATTATATGGCTAAAGCTATGCCCATATTGAATTTCATGCAATTCAGTTCATAACTAACGGAGATGTAAAAGCGATCGAACATTTCTAAACAAAGTTATCGTTCACACGGACAGATAGATGGACAGACAGACAAAGGAACAGACGGAGAGACCAACCGGCAGGCGACAGATAGCAATGCAAAATTATAAACGATCTCTAGGATCGTTAATAAACGGCAAAAGTGTAAAATTATGGAACATGTAAAAAACGGTTTTTTGTTTTTTTTACAATAACTTTTTTTGTAAGCGGTACAGAAAAAATTCCTTCCTTGGTACAAGACTCGACACCATAACGAACCAAATAGCGAAAAAAGTAGAACAATAGCTCTTAAGATAAAGAACTAGTAGCGTCGCAAAACGAGCGGACGGACGGACGGACGGACAAAGTGGCCACAATAGCGCATTTTTTTTTTATTTTTGTGGAAATGCGCTAAAAATGCGGAAACCAAAGCGACAATATTCAAATTAATTAATATGACAGCCAGATCTTTATTTGTTTTAAGAAGTTATTTTGGTTGCATGAAATTAGGCGCACTACAGAAGAAATGTATCATTTAAAAGTAGACATAAGGAGAAATAATACACGTAAATCCCTATGTCTACTTCTTAATAAATATCACTGTACATGGTCTAAGGCCTAGCTTTAGCTTTTTGTCTGTCAGAACTTGACAATTAAAATAGGTAAAGGTAGAGACCAATGAAATAAAAGACTAATGCCCGTTTGCACCGACAAATTTAAGCAGAGCTTAGCTTAAACGTAGCTTAAAATCCATGGCAACCACTGTCTCAATTCTAATTTTGCAACCAATTTTCTTTGAATCAAATTTTTCTTTATTTCAACAGAACATAATTGTTTCAGTTATAATGAAGAATCGAAAATTTTCATATCTAACGGTAAATAATTCGCACTTGAACGCAATGCTGAACACTAGCGACGTAAGTGAATATCTCAAAATTTCCCCAAATGGTCTGGAAGCTCGATGTGACGCCTACTCATTCGAAAGTGTAAGATGCACGGCCCAGGCTGATTCAGGTGTCTGGTATTACGAAGTATGCATTATCACTCCAGGTGTTATGCAGATCGGTTGGGCCACTAAGGAGAGCAATTTCTTGAATCATGTTAGTATTTCCCTTTCAAAGTTTGTTTCTCGTTAATACCTCACTTGCAGGATGGGTATGGAATTGGGGACGATAAATATTCGTTAGCTTATGACGGATGCAGAAAGCTGATCTGGTACAACGCCAAATCGGAACCGCAGCAGTTGCCTCGATGGCAACCTGGTGATACGCTTGGTTGCCTTCTTGACATGGATAACCAGCAAATAATTTTTTCGGTGAATGGAAAAGAAATACCGCCTTGCACTCACGTTTTTAGCATGGCCAAGTAAAGTTTTAATCACCCAATTGGTATCGTGCATAAAATTATACTTTGATTGCAGATCCGGATTCTTTGCAGCCGCAAGCTTCATGTCATTCCAACAGTGCCATTTTAACTTTGGTACCGAACCATTTAAATTTCCACCGAACTTGGAGTTTTCAAACTTTAATGATTGTGGTGTATTGGAGCCTGAAAGTAAGAAGGTAATGCCACGTCACATTTATCTGGACCAACTAAGACAGCAGAGCGTTAGAGAGGATAGTTGCACCTTGTGCTACGACAAAAAGGCCTCTGTGCGGCTTATTCCCTGTGAACACGAGTAAGTGGTATATTACCGTTTTTAATTCTCCACTCTACTTCTTTTGCTTCTCATTTAAAATGTACCTTGCCAATGCCTACTTAGAGTGCTTTATAACATGCGAAGTGAATTTCAGAATAAGTGACATAATCACTAGGCCCTTGAAGTTCTTGAGATGGATATTCTTGAATTTCTTGAAATGTTTGAGAATCTTTGTATTTATTACATTATTAAAATTTGTTTAAATTCTTTAAATATTTAACATCCTCATAGTTTTTAAGATATTTTAGGTTGTTAGGATTTTTGAGATGCTTGGAATCTTTCAGTCATAAAATTTTTGAGAACTTTGAGATAAAATTTTTAAGGTTCTTGTTTTTGAGATTCTGGAAATTCATAAAATTCTAGATAATACTAATTGAAAATTCTAAACCCAGTTAAAATAAGAGCTTTGCTCTACACCAATGGCATTGTACCTATAACAGACAATGCCATAAAATGTAAAAACTAAAAGATATCTAGAGAAATGAAATTTAAAAAAATGTTCATATCATGCGAATAAAGGGAAAGAACAAAGAAAACTAAAGCAAAGGAAGAAAAGTAGAAATGAAAAAGCTCGACGCTCAAGGAAAAACTACAACACAAGAGTACTTTCCCCAGTTTTATTTGATTGCATCAGTTATTATCCCCATCCGAGACATTAATCTAATTTCAACCGTTTTTCAGAGGATTTTGCACGTCTTGCGTTAGTCAACTGACCGAATGTCCCATGTGCAGATCAGCAATACATCTTGTTGTAGACGATAATACGTAACATCGATTGTTATTTCTCTATAACGTTTTTTTGCCGCCAATGTTAAATAATTTTCTATAGACTGTATTGTTGTTGGCATAGCAGTTTAAAATATTTACTATTGCATTTATTTGTTTAAAGTTGTATCTGTGTATATCATATGTAAATTAACAACTATCTCTGTCCCACATTGAAAATTTAGAAGAGAATTCGGTCAAAAATATGGGCGTTACGTTTTTTGTATATACCTTTTATTAAATTTTGAAACTTATGGATTAAGGGCTACAAAAAGTTGATATTTTATATTAAAGCAGAAAGAAATATATCAGTCTTTTAAAGACTCTAAATATACGAAAATTCACTATTTGTCTTTATGGAATGCCAAACTATTGTAACGCTTTTAATGTGTATTTATACTATTCAGATTTTCTATAAAGAGTATTAATTATTTTATTGTAAATGAGCCTAAGATGTATATGTATATTAAAATGTATGTATGTTTAGTTATTGTAAATTACCTTATAAGCGCTGTAAAATATATTTTTTAAATTGGTTTGTTGTCATTAATAAAGATTTGTTTATTATTTTGTGTTTATAAATGGTAATTCATCTTGGTCGACTATAGGTTTGAGCAGAAAGTCTGTGTAGGTATAGAGATCTGGAGCATCACTATTCCCAAATTTTTATCATTGTTCTAGAGCAACAATTTTTAGTTCTTTGCAATCGATACCAAAATGTTGAACCTTTTTTTGGGAGAATTTTGTTGTTCCCCAAATGATACCAAGATTTTCCGATAGAAGAACGTTTAAAGAGTTGGTAGCCCAAAGCTATGCATCTAATGTGCCAGACCTGCTAAAAATAGAGTAGCCCAACACAAGCACCATTGCGATATGGAAGAATATGTGTAGAAAAGAATGAACAGATGAAGGAAACCTTCCATTTGTCTCTCAGCTTCTGAAAAGGACGAAACCTTTTTTTTTCAAAGTTCCAGCTTGGCGGGGCGCCATAACCCCCTATACTCCAAACAGATCTGGGAAGTATTTGAAGTTTTTAAATGTTATTTTCATAATTAAGGATGCCGACTCTCATATTTATTGAATTATTATTAGGAAAAAAGAAAAAATTGTGGATTTTTTACTCAACACAAGATACAGTATTAGAGCTATACATACAGGGTGTTTCGAAATTCACGCACACGGACTGTGGGATGGTGTTATACAACGAAAACTTAATAAAAAGTTCCTCAGTGTTTGATCAGAACGGCACTTTTTTTTTCGACGTGCTGAAGCTTGTTTACTAGCAGACGGCGGACATTTTGAACAACTGTTGTACTCGTCCTAATTATAGTTTATTTTGAACCTTTTTTTGTTCTTAAAAATGTGCTGTTATTAAGTTTAACCAGTGGCGCAGCGTAGGGGGGGTGGAGATTTTTGAAACCGCAGTAGCTCGAAAAATAGCGGTCTAATAGAAAATTGGTAGAGGAACTTTTTGTTCAGTTTTTGTCGTATAACACCATCCCATAGTCCGTGTGCGCGAATTTCGGAACACTCTGTATATCAATAAATTCTAACGTGATCCAAAGAAGTCAAGGGAGTCTGAATAGAAGGACTGGAATCTGCATAAATTTGAAATTTCATATTCCCCTAAACTACCACGTTTATAATTTTCTATTTAGTTTATAAAAAACTATGTATACTAACCTAAAGAAATACCCCAATTTGGATTTCAAGCTCACGACAATTACAAAATTAGGTTGAGGCTCCAGACAACATGAAACTTCCGGTTGTACTTGATGGGAATTTCTGGAACTGTCTAATGAGCTATATAGTGTTTCCTTCAATTTCTTGGACAAGATAATCGGCATCAAAAAATAAAGGAGTCAAACTGGCCTGTAACGCGGATATTTAGAAGAGCTTTATACTCCGTTGGGTCTTCGATTTTCAACTCATTTATGTCCTCAGGGAACACGGATGATGCGCACGGTTCCGGGTACACTGGTCATATTCTCCCTGGTTCCAATGAACTGCCTTGGTGTAAACGTTAATTCACCAGGCTGGACAGGTCAGCTAATGGAATTCAGTCACTGGAGTCTAGCCTACTTAATTAATGGAGTTATTGGCCTACTTACTGGCCTCGTGTAAACGCGGCATTACTGTCTCGTAGAAACGCGGCGTTATGGTGAACGCTGAGCCCATACCTAGAACAAGTACCTACGGGGTGCGCCTGCCAATATTAAAAACCGAAGAAATTCATTTTTGAATCAAAGAGGAACGGTTTTAGAGTGATTCACAAAAGTGAACGTCCTTATATGCTATATCGATGCTTGATGCTTCATAGTCCTCTGTTCGTTGGTCCATGCTACTGCTAGTATCTACTATAGCAACTTATTCACTTCGAAAGGCGACACACCTCACAACTCTAAAAAACCGCAGTATGGAAATACATACGAAACGCTCTGTATATACAGCAACCGTTCTGAACAACTGCTGGGAAACAGAGATTCTTTACGACGAAGTTTCACAGAAAGTTGGCGTCGGTAACGGGATTACGTTAGGGGATCTCAATGAATGGCGTCCCAGGTTTTTCACAATGTTATTTTGTTTGTTCTGTTTGAAAATTACAGTATGATATTGTCTGTATGATTCGATTACGAAGTTATTTCCCTGAAGGAAGAGCCCCATACAGTTCCGATTCTTCGCTGTATATGTTCCTTCCTTATCTCGTACCCGCTGCCGTATGGTGGTGGTGGATATCCAAGCCTTCACTTGAGATTCTAGGTTCACAGAGCCTTACAAATTTACATGAATGACTAAAAATATAAATTAAACTTCGAGAAGACCATATAATCAAACCATAACCATAAATTGAGCAAATATTTGCACCAAAAATGAAATCGATTTCAAACAATAAAATTTTTCATACACGTTATCAAACAAAAAAAACAAAACCACACAATGCTCTCTCGACGAAAGCACAAACCAAGATGGCTGTGACGTAAGAAGTGTTCGTGCTCTCGAGACGGCGCTGACAGCTTTCTCCTTCTTCTAAACAGTTGCGCGGTTGCCACGTCTCAAAAAAGTGCATCGTCGTAGTCTATATATATAGTACAGGGCGGACCTCTCAAGTTCTTGATTTCAAGGCACTCTGATGGAAAACAATAACTTGCGGGTGTTGTGTAGGTACGTCTTTTATCCGATAGGTAGAGATCCAAATACTGTCGGTTATTATGTCCGAGTCTACCACCTCATTCCTGCTTTTTAATTATTACAAATGTCCAGTTGGTTCCGAGCCCTCTTAATTAAAATAAAATGTATTAGTTTAGTTCTTTTTCGAGTATCGTGTTATCACAGAACGACTTCTGTGACTGGATAACGGTTTTCAAATGACACCAGAGGGGGCTTTGAAGTGAGTTTGAGAGATGCCATTTGTGGGCCCATGAGGAATGTGCGAGTAGCGGGAAGCGCCATTAGGTATATTTGCGACTTCTGCAAATAGACGTACGTTTCACTATTCTAGTAGAATAATGAGTACAAATATACTAGGTACGCGATCAAAAAAGAGTTGCTGTCGAGTCACCTTTGAAATTTGTGTTTACATAGGAATTAGGAAATCGAACTTCAACTTCCAAAGGCGACTCGACCTGCGACCGCCACTGGTCACCCATTTTTGATCACCCGTTACATGTTATGTTGTTTAAAGGGGTTACGTGTGGACCGAATGATTAATTATTATCTAATAATTTAATTTTAAACAAATAATGTAGATAAACAATTCCATTTTACATGAGTCTGTTTATAAACGTGCCGAAATTTTCAAAAAAGAATGCATTTTTTACGCGATAAGTTAGCAACCTGTAATGCCAACCGTCCACCCAAAAACATCGAGAATTTAATCACGTGCCTACATAATGCAGTGTTTTTATGGTGGAACAAAATGGCGGGTGAGTTTTGCAAAATTATTAACATTTTTCCAAGCAACCCGTTGCTGACATTCGTTTATTTTTGCAGATATTTCGTTGATACAAGACGACGCAATCGATGATTCAGACGAAGGTACGTGAGCAACGTTTTTATGTCAAAATTTAAAGTGTTTGCATGTGTGATTATTACTGCTCTCTTGCCATTTAGAATGGCGTGGTAAAAATTCTGTTTCTACGAGTTACTGTTATGGTCTTTCGTGCGTAATTCGAACATGTACGCAACGGCATATCGTAAGTTTAATTAATATTACTCTACGCGCCACTTATTTTCACTCGCCCTTAAATTTTGTTCATTTTAAGGTTATCATTGATTCGACGATTCTTAAGTCGCCAATTTGGAGAATACCTGCATTTTTTTAGCCTGCACTTAACCGTATTAACATATCGCAAGGTAAATGCGTAACCGAATTCCTGCAAATTGAAGCTTTCATTCATTATTAAATACCTTACAACCTTGCAGTTAGGTCAATGAACGTCATGGTATTAAGATAATTTGATCTCTGGAGGATGGTACAAAGCAATTTCTTCAATTAGCGAGGTAAAGGACAGGTGCTGAACATTTTTTTTTGTATGCATTTATGTGAACGGTTACTGCAATTATTAGTACGGGTGGGACACATTCAGAGATTTCCTTTTTGCCTACAATTTGTTGAGTGATATTCAATAAGTCGAGGTTTTCAGAATTTATGAAGCTATGACTTGTAATCCCGAACAGTGAAGGGTGCTAATCGGTTCCGATTAGGTACAAGCTTCAACTACAGTCCTAGCGAGTCCTCGACGTTAGGTTTTGCACAGTGACAACCTCTAATAATTGATAACAGCGAATAATAGAGGTGTTCCGCGCAAGGTTTCAACTGTTTCGCATAGGAAGTTAAAAAACAATGCCATTTTTGATTTTTGAAACAATCGGTGGCTCACTACTCACTAGATCAAGTGTAAAAATGTGGCTTTGCTATTTAAAGAGAAAGAAGATGTAGATGATTATGAAGTGAGGATAGAACCAATTGTTTTTCTTATGTGAACCATCATTTTTGGGATCCTCACTCAAAGTATATGGCATACAAAAAATATCAGTTGTAGGGTGTACGTATTTTTACAACCACTGAATTTGTACTTAATCAGTAGTGTGGATTGTATCGCAAGCATTGTAATCAAGAGAAATGACTTTTCCTTCCTTCCCTTCGATATCTCGAGTTGTAAATTTTTTGCAAAGAAAATTATATAAACTTACTTACAAAAATGGTTATAATTCATTTTCCATACAAAATATGGTATTAACTATAAATTCAGTGACTATGAGTTGGCCCTGATAGAGAGATAGACGTATTGGTAAATGTGTAGTGTAGTGCACTTTTAATGTCACCCTTGAACGCGCACTGTCAAATTAATTAATATTAGACATGACCCTAACATTTCCAGGGCTTTCCCTGAATCAAAATTTCGTTGATCATACCTTACATAAGTATTCTCCCTTTCGTGACCTACTCAACATTCCTTAACGAATAGGTACCTACAAACGAGGGTATAAACTATAAAGATTTGAACATGCAGTTCTGAAGGCCTCCATAATGTTCTAGAGCAGTGGTTCTCAACCTTTTAGACACTGCGACCCCCTCTTTAGGTTGAGTATTATTTTGCCGACCCCCCTATGAATTATAATTTTTTTTAAAACAATAATAACGTCTACAATAGTTGTTTTGTGTTTTTTACTTAATAAATTACTGCAAAAATAATAGTTTTTAGTTTTATTTTTCGTATATTTCGCGACTACCACTAACACGTTCTGGGGTCCCGACCCACCGGTTGAGAACCACTGTTCTAGAGAATTGACTTCCAACAGTTAAGTAATACAAAATCAACGTTGAACATGTGGTGGAGGGGCAAACTTCACGAAGTTCCTCTTGCGCCAAAAGTGAACTTTTTTTATAGAGTTCTGAAGTGGTCAGTAATAGTTCCCAAAATCATTAAAATAGTTCAGTAAAAAATCAATGCAAATACGACTAATACGAGATATTAGTTTCGACCTCGCCAATATACAGGGTGGTGCACGGTAAGTAGGAACATAAGGATTTAACATGGGAAATTAGTTTTATGCAATATCCTGCCCTCCTGTACATTTTACAGAAAAAACTGTCGAGTTTAAAGTTGTTCAGAATTAAAAGGTGCATACAAAACTGTTTTTACATGTTTTATTAAGCTTTTGGTATACCGGCAAATTGAAAAAGAAATTTCAACATTTCTGTTATTAGTAGCAATTCATAGAACAACAAAAGTCATGGCTATTGCTACTAATAAGTAATAACAGAAATGTTGAAATTTCTTTTTCAATTTGCCGAATTTGAGGAGCAAATATAGTAATGGAAAATGATCCATTTTTTGTTAATTGCTAAGAAACTTGATATATAATTATTAATTAGTGATGCAAGTTTTATTTGAGGCACCCTGTACTGTGTACCTAGGCCTGTCGTCACATTAGGATGTACATGTACAGTACTTTAACATAGCAGACTCGTCCGCCGTTTTGGAATCCATTAAGAGCATTGAAATAGCAAGGAGAAAACATCTGCGCAGCCATGGCTATCTTTATGTACTAATAACGTTACAACAATCAATGTTTCTTTAAATAATAAGACAATACATGCAGTACATGGAACCTTTTTCAAGTGTCCATTGTCATGGACTCCAAAATGGCGGACGAGTCGGTTGTTTTATATACACTGTGTTCAAGATAAGGGGATCTCGGAAATTATAGAAGATACGGAAATGGTAAAATTAAAGAAGCTGTAAAGAAAACTAGAAAACTGAAAGTACTTACTGGTTTCAACAGGATAGTGCACCCGCTCAACGCCCAAATCGTTCAAGAATACATATCGGACAAAGTTTCCGTTTTCTAGAAAATTTGTTTGATAGATATTCTCGGGATGGGCGTTTTGTGCGGGTGCACCATCCTGTTGAAATCAACAGTTCCTAACATTGTGCCGTACGTCGTGTTCGTAATAAAAAGTGCTATTCAATACAGTATGTACTCTTTTTACGGGCCATATCATTTCTCCGAAACGAAACATTATATTGAACATCTCTCAACGCTGTCTTATAGAACTCAAATAGTGGCATGAAGAAAGACGAGGAGGTGAAGACGTGTAATTAACAACTTTAGAGACGGGGTTACATGATTTGGGGTTGGCGACATTTGGACGCCATCCCCGAGCATGTTATACTAACGTGGTGATTTTTCAGTTTTTTCCTATCTTCTACAGTTTGGATCCGATTGTTTTCTTCCGAAAGGTCCACTCCTGGGTAACGGAATTTTGATTTTTTTCCCTAGGGGCGAAATTAACCACATTTTGCAACTTGCAAGGCGCGCATCTTCGAGGGATAGTCTACATTGGGCGCCCAAAAATTTCTTAAGAGTTCGAATCGCGACCTCTTTTTCTCGTGTCGCCAATAGAAGCTCGAGCTATGAGTGCCCCAAAACTGAGGGTTTTTAGCGAAATTCACCAAAATGCGAATTGCGAGTGAACCGGACGTCGGAAGTGGGTTACCGGCTCAGGGAATGTGGTTGTCTCCGACAAGATCTTACTGATGGTGGAGTCCAAACTGGCCAATAGAATACTAATCTGCCACACAAACATGTGCTGAAGTCTCTTCGATCTCACAGGAGGAGGAGATCATTTTTTATCTTTTTGTATCTGTTCATCATCAAAAAATCTGTCTTATCTTCGGAAGTAATTAGAATTTGCTGGTTTTCTTTACAGTATAAGGCACCTCTAAAAAGCATTATGCGGGTCACTCTGTAATTGGGCGCAAGCCTGTTGAGGGCCCAGAACAAGAGAAGGAGAATAAATAAAAATAAATAAATAAATGTCAGTTTGGCGTAGCGGTTTAAGGCTCGGACTCTAACCTCGCAGGTTGTGAGTTCGATTCCCACAACTTTCCAGTTTTTAGTGGTACAGAACATCTGACTACCATGCTGCGGAGGGCATGTAAAGCTGGCGGTCCAGGGAGTCATACCACGACTGTCGTTAAGTCACACAGACGGCTGTTGATGCGACCCGAAAACGTCTGTACCTAGGGAGTGCCACCCATACGATACGATAAATGTTCAATTACATAACTTTTCTCTAATTTGATCATCTTTGTATCTTCTATTGTTTCCGAGATCCTTATCTTGAGCACAGTGTAGGTATTTAGAATGTTCAAAATCACACTCGAGTTTGTGGTCAAAATAAAGTACTACGGTCGCCAAGAAAGTAATTAATTGGTTACAATTTGACCAAGACAGAAAGGGTACTTTTACTTCCTGTGCATCGGATCAATATTTGTTTAAGTTGTTTCACCGACGAAATTGGTAAATAATTGAAATTTGTGTCCATTTTAGGCATCATTCCGAACATATTAGTAAAAATATTTCTATAAGACAAACAAAATGTTTCTATCTTTACTTAAAAATAGCAGCTTAGAAAAAATATTTGGTTTTGCTTTCCTTTTTGACATAATTAAGTATTTACAACTTGTTTCTTTGTAATTTTTTTCTAAAGTCAATAGCGAACCCAGAGGCACTAAACGAAATAATGAAGAAAACTCGGAAGAAACAATTTAGTGAGATGTCTAGTTAGCTGTGCAGTTTTTTTAAGTAGATTTCTATCTATCTACCAATTGTAATGGTACCAGTATATTTATAGGTTTATATATATCACTTCCAAGAAACACTGTAACTGTCGTAATTATGAACTGATTTCAACTCACAAATATTTCGGTCAAATTCGGGGATCACCCAATTCCGCCATATTGGAACAAAATGGCGGTAAGAAATCTACCTACATCAGATCGGCGAAAGGGATTTTATTAAATTGAATACCCCGTATATCTTAATCTTAACAGACGCCATATTAATTCCGTTTTGAAAAATATAGCACACCGAGGATATTAAAAATGATTTAAGTGGTACAAAAAAAATTTTAAAAAAAGCAACAATTTTCGAACTAATTAATATGACAGCCAGATGTTTTAAGAAGTTATTTTGTATGCATAAAATTAGTCGCCCTTCAGAAGAGATTTTGTCTTTTAAAAGTA